GGAACTTTATAGGGACCAATTTAAATCTTGAGACCTTTCCCTGAATATGACTCTTTCCTCATTAATTAATGCATTTAAGACTACCTCATTTCAAAATTCTTGTTAGGAAATTGACAATTTAACATAGATTTACTTTTATTACAAAGAGTAGCTTCCAATGTGTTTTGAAATACTCAAATTCATTAATTCCAAGACATACTTAAATCATAAACATTCTTCATATATTTCTCTTAAATTTGCTCATTGTTATCTATATACAGTTTAGACAGCCACAGGGTTTTTAACTTGTCTATGAAATTTTAAAAAAAATATCTTATACAGTGTCTTCTTTTCTTAGCTGCATGCTATTAGCTATTAAGGGTATTTTTGCTTCATATTCATTCCAGGGGTGTCTAGTGAGTATAGGACATTTTATGAAAGGCATATATTGCACAAGTGTGCAATCTGCTACCACTTTTCTAATTAATACTGCTTGCATCTATGTCTGTTAGAATTGCCAATTGGAGTACCAGTCAACATACATGCCTGGCAATGTCTGTATATTAACCATTGGCATTTTGTAACAAAGAAGAGAATGGTTTATCAGAACATGAAGTTTTAGCTGTGATTCTGTATAAGTATAAAATGGAGCTAAGAATGTTTAGCTTCTTATAAAACGTAAAGCATACACACACAAAGGACCATTATAATTATTACTAGTGCTAATTAAGGGTAAAGGCAGATGTAGTCAAATTGTAACATAGCTTGATTTTCAGTCAGTTATGCTACTCATTATAACACAGTACCAAGTCTTCCTTTTTGTTCTTGTTTATACTTGTCTTTCATACATAGTGGTAAGAACTTGCTAGATATGTTGAGGAGTACTGTAATTAAAAAAATGACTTACAAAGTAGTAAAAACAGACTACACATTGAAATAAAAGGAGTCCCTGATTTTTGTAACCATTAACCCAAGAACAAATGACTCGAAGTTTCTCCTAAAGTTGTTCATATTTATGTGATGTCTCTGCATATTTGGTTGAATGTATTTATTTGAATGTTGGATGAAAAATGTGTAAATGGGTTTATAAACAGAAAGTTTCAGCACTATGTTTGAAGAAGGAAATGTGCATAGTTGATTCCAACCAGTGTACATGAAATATTTAGCTCTTATGAAATGTGACCTAGATACACTAATTTTCTAGAGTAGTGTGTGAATTATTAGTGTGTAAGACTAATGACTTCCACATTTAAGCTGTGCCCTCTTTCAGAATCTTGGGGCAAAGAGGACTTATTAGCACAATCTATCTAAATTCTCCTCACAGAAATGGCAGAACTGAAACATTTAAGATTGTAGGTTAGTGCTATACCTCCAAGTAAATGTTTTGTTCTATTTTTTAAAATTAGTTATGTAAATATGATAAAATTATTATGTTGAAACACTTTAAATTATGAATTCTATATTAATATATAAAACATTGATAAGTCTTCAAAACATGGTAGATGCCTTATTTGTTCTGAAGTGCTTTTTACTATTTCATGTGGTCAAATCTGAGAGGAATGCATTTTTCATATATACTTGTAAAATAAATACATCATATATTTATAAAATCATCAATACAACAGCCAGTGATGTGTTGCTCTCTGTCCAGCTGTGGTGAGATTCTGATCTTACTCTTCAGAAAATGTAGAACTGCCTTTTATGGAATAATTTAAAAAGAAAAAGTAAAATATTTTGAGATTTTTCATGGAAAAAATTCCCAATAGATGTACAACCCTATAATTAAAATCATTATTACTTGGGATTATTGGTTCAAAATTCAATATTAGCCTACCTCCTTTACTGTGCCCTAACATCATCAAAATTCTTTTTATCCTTCTGTAAAGACTTAAAAATTTATCAAGTCCTCTGGGGCATGTAAACCTGTTTTCTGGAGCAGCAATGTTAAGCTCTGTGAATAGCTGGATCTTGAGAAAAAAATGGCAAAATCTCCTAGAAGAGGAATACCTGTACTGAAAAAAATCAAGTAATCATGTTGAATTTAAAATCATAAGAAGGGACATGCCAACTTTTTCATGTAAAAAAGAGAATTTGCCAGTTATTTTGATAGTCTTTCCCTCCCCCCGCCCCTTAGCACTCACCTTTAAAATTCTGATGGAGGAAAGGAAGGCAAATAAAAAGAAATGATCACATAAAATCAATCAAGAGGAAAGGAACTCAAATATGGCTCTTCATATATCCTTAGCCTGAGATGGTGTATATTTGTTGGCAACCAATTAGCTCTTCAACAGGATTGGCTGCCCTAGGACTCTCTCTAGGAGCAGAAAGGAAGATCAGAGAGTTACTTGCAGCCCACACAAACTGGCTTTGAGCCAGGAATCATCATTCCAGGCTGTTAACCTGCATTCTATCCCAGAAGGAGAATCAGGTTGAATCTGACAGGTCTATGGGGGAGTTATTAACTTGTATCAGTACCGTAAGAAATTTGACTGGGAGGGTAGCAGCAAAATGAAATTTCTTTGTTGATATTGTATACTCATAGAGACCTTAT